TTGTATGTTTCCTTGCAGCAAGTGTCATGAAGCACAGATTTGGACAACACACAAACCAGTATTGCACATGATACTTAGTCCAAATGAAAGGCAAACTGCAGCTGATAGGAGTGGCTTTACTTCCCATGTCACCTCTCAGCTGAGTTCTGACACAGTGTTATTTGCACCAAGAGTAAGGATCACAAAGTGTGTTTAATCAGTTTCCTCTCAAATCCATATACTGACTCAGAGATAGAAAAGCAACTGATTTTGCCCAAGATCAGCAAAGAGATCCAACTCACCCAGTTGGTCAGGGTGCTCCTAACGGAGCAGAAATGAGTGAGTACACTGCTGGGACAGTCAGGAATGACAGACCAACTGCCAGTTATTCCAGCAGCACCTTTTTCCAGCTCTGATGAAGTGTAAGGAAACCACATCCCTAGAAGTGACATCTGTGTAAGGTTTGACTGTGACAAATGTTACAGATCATTCTGCTACTCTTGAGATTCTGACTGCACAAAGGAAGTTTATTTAAAAGAGAAGCTGGACTCACTTAAAACACATATGAATGAAGCTTCTAACACTAATTTAATTTCTTAAAGGAAATTTTATGCTTTAAGTACCATTATGATCAACAAATGATGCAAAAAATATTATTTCAGTCTGTCTTCTAGTTACATAACTCAATCCTTCAGTGTTTTACTGTTCTTTCACATTTAGATGGGTACTCAAGCTTTATTCTGATTAGCTCATCTTTGATACTGTATTAAAAATTTTCCAACATGTTTTATACATCAAGGCATGGCAGATTTGTCCTATCATGAAAATATAATTTTATTTTTGTTTTCTCCGCTTTGAAAAATGCCATTTCCATGGAACTGGAGAAGAGAAGCCTCCTGACAAGTGAGAAATGTTCCTTTGTAAACAAGGGACAAAAAGACAATCTACATATTCTATACTGGTACAACTCTTAGCTCAAATATTAAAAACAGCTGAATGTGAGATTCAGTGACAAATATCAAGCTATAAAAGTAAAGGGTGAAATAGCATTAAGTTATAATGGAGGCAAGTTATAAAGTAAGGCAGGATGATGCAGATTTATTTTTGCAGAGAAGAAAGACTTATTATAGGTAGTGAAAGAGAAGGTTTACAGGCACAAAATTACCCTTTTATTTTGTACTTGGGCTACACACTCCCACCTTACAAGCATTTGTTTCAGAAGTTTAGCGGCAACTGCGGCAGGTTCCATCACTTTGCCTATAATTTGTTTTTCACTCCACTGTAATGAAAGTCACAATTCAAATTCAAACAATTCACAACTCAAGTCACAACTCAAACAATTCAAACTTCTGACTGTCCCAAACATTCAGATTCTTTAGTTCTTCAGTTTCTTAGTACAATGGTATTCTTTGTAAATTCTCTCATGTATCCAAGATAATCTATATTATGGAAAACTTGAGATTAAAAAAAAACAAAACAAAAAGAAAGACATTTACTCCAAGAGGAGCTAAAAAAAAAAATATCTCTGTACTCAATGACTAAATGAAAACTTCAGCCAAATATGTACCTCTTCTGAGTTGTGAACATGTAAAAGCATGAACTGGAACTGGTCATGAAGTTTGGCTGTTCCCACTAAAGCCATTGTTTGGATTTCACTTTCCAGCAGCACACTAAATTGTAGCTTTCAAACAATGTCTTCTGAAGTGATACAAAGAAAGAAATTTTGTTTCCTAGTAGTATGTTTAATTGCAAGTGGCCAAAGTCCTAGTTGATGCAAAGCGCAAATTCACTGAAATGAATATTCTAAACACACAGATAATGTAACAGAGTTCTAAGTACACCAGTAACTTTATAAGAGGAAAACAAGCATTAACTCACTTGTCAGCTGAGCTTTAGAGAACTTCTCTGTACAGCTGTGATCTTGGACACTGTTCTCCAGCTTCTGCCATTCCTGTGCTTGAAAGAGGTGAAGTCTAGCTGCTTTTGCCACAGCTACTGCTATATTCTTGATTCTGACACACAGAACAGCATGGTCACCTTGATATTTAAAAAATAAAATCAACTATTCCGCCTTGATGTAAGTTAAAAGCAAAAAGATAGTGTGACACAGATTTTTATCAGTAGCTGCAATACAGCTTCACGTTATGGTTAATTTTTTACCACTAGTTCCTAATAAAAGTATTTATGGTCTTTCAGAAACAACTTCTATGTCTCTCATTAAGAAACCAGTGAATGCACAATTCTCTATGGTGGTACTTAAACAAACCTTCACCATAGCCCAAGTGTCATTAACCTTCTCTAATACAAACAGCCCTCCCTCCCCCCTCTTTTTAAAAAGACTTCCAGATAATGTGGTTTTTTTCTTACTCCCTCACACTCCAAATTTTATTGTTTTCAAGTTCAAGACAGCACCTCAACAGACTCAGTAACTAGTTTAGTAACTAGTCTAGTATCTTATGAACTCTGTGGCATGACTGTGAGCATCACAGGGTAACTCTTAAGTCTGACAACAGAAGAATGCATGCAAATGGACTTTCACGTTACAGATGGATTAGATTTAAAATACTTAATTATAGATGACAGATGTCAAATTGATGCGAAGAAAATCAAACTTCAAAAGTGCTCTCTAATGTGTCACTCTACCTGTAAAATCATAGAATGGCAGAATGGCCTGGGTTTGAAGGGACTAGAAAGATCACCTGGTTTCCAAGCCCCCTGCTGTGGGCAGGGATACCTTCCACTAGACCAGGTTGCTCAAAGCCCCATCCAGCCTGTCCTTAAAATCTTCCAGGGACGGGGCATGCACAACAGCTCTGGACAACCTGTTCCACTGCCTCACCACCCTCACCGTATTTTTTTTCTTAATAGCTAATCTAAAAACTACTTTCTTCAGTCTGAAACTGTTCCCCCTTGTCCTGACACTACAGGCTGCATCTTGACACACAGAAATATTTCAGTCATTTTAGAACTAGCTCATTTGACAAAATTTATCTTGCCTGAGGAATTCCACAATCCTCAAACTTGTTTTCATAATTTCTTTCCTATATTGCCATAGACTTCTTTAATCTAGAAGTATCCTAAATTAAAAGGTACAATTTAGTGGAGAAGAAAAATCAGTAAAACGTTATATGAACCACAGTTAAGCTATGTTTTTGAAATATTAACAGAAGGCTCTAAAGAAAGCTTCACTAATATCCAAAATAGTTGTTGGTATTCATGCAGAAAGAGAAGTATTTCTATGCAAATATGCAACATCAATTTATAAAATTATATCTGAACACCTACACCACTCATCTTGAATTTTTACAGTCTTTTCTATAAGATTTAAACAGTGCACTCTTCCCCTTCAGATCTATTTAGAGCACTTCTACATTTAACTTCTAGGGCAGTGATAATTAACTGCTTTCAAGTCACTTCTTAAGCTATCTCCACCCTATCTATCATTTCTCATTCAGTGCTGGAAGGTCACGCTCCAACTCTGTTTTGCTTATGTCATGCTTTCCTGCATCCCGTTAGATTTTGAAGCACCCCGCAGAACTGTTCTGCCAGGAAGCTCAATGGGAAAGAAAAATAGCCTAAGCTACTGAAATGCTGAGCGCATAGGAAGAGCAGGCTGACCAGCACCGCCTTGCTGGACACAGCACTTGCCATGGTTACACACATCTTGTCCTGTAAAATAAAACTACTCTTGCAAGCACAGTGGGCCACTGCTAGGGCTCTCTTTCAGCAGGATGGCAGCCAGGAATTATTACTAAGTAATTACTAACTAATAATCTGAAATTATTACTAACGAGGAGTTAGTAACAAGGGAAAGAAAAGCCATTGGGAATAACCAGGTGAGAATTTTACATCCTGATGCGCGGCGTCACCAAGACCCCACAGCGACGGGGCAGAGGGACGTTAAGCACCGCTGCCATTTGGTGGAGTTCCAAGAGGGAAGGAGCGATGCGTGTCGCAGTGAGGACACTGGGCCGGGAGTGTCCGCACCAGGCTGCGGAAGGCGAAGGGAGGCGCAGCCCTGCTCCCCTCAGTGACCCACAGCGCGGGGCCGCTGCCAACTCCCGCACCCAGCGCCCGGGGCCGTCCCGCCGCGCTCCGGCCGCGTCCTGCCGCTGGCCGGGATCCCCGGCCCCGCTCCGGTGCTGCCTGGACAGCGGACCGGACCTGTTGCACGATCCGGCGGAGGACAGAGAAGGAGGAAAAGAGGGAGACAGAGAGCGATGGAAGGACGGAGAACTGCAGGGCTGACTCCTCTCCCCACCCCGCGGCCCCTCTGACCGTCACCGGTCCCCCCGCGCTCCAGCGGCTCCTCACAGCCGCCCCCTTCCCCACCGGCCCCGCTGCAGGACGGCACAGCCGCTCCTCCGCTCTCCTGCCCTCGGGGCACCCACCGTGGAACTGGAAGCGCGCCACGGGCCGCCACGGCTCCCGGCGGGCGACGGCGCTGGCGAAGCCACCCCGCAGCGTCTTGCCCGCAGCCGGACCCCAGCAGCAGCAGCCGGCGGCGGCGCTGAGCAGCCATAGCAGCCGCCACCGCATCCCGGGACCCGCCGAACACCGGGATCCTCCTTCCCTCCTCCCGCGCTGCTCCGTCGGGTCACGTGACTCCCCCCGCCGCGTTAGGCGCGAGAGGGAGGGCAGGAGAGGCGAGACAGCCAATGAGAGAGCGCGCCCGCCCTTGGGGGTGTGACAGAGCGCCAGGCCCGGCCCCTGCGGCAACGTGTCCCGTTGCCGGGTACGGCCGTAAATTGGCAGATCCATGGTCGTAAAAGAGACGGCCATCAGTTGCCGCTGGATGCGGAGGCGAAGCGTTGGCCCTTTTCACACGCCGCGCCCGTCCCGCTGCCTGTGGCCTCTGAGACGGTGACAGCTCCGCTCTTGGGGCCGCGCGGGGAGCGAGGAAGGCGGTCTTTCAATGGGCCTCTGACAGGCCCTGCGACTCTGCTCGTGAAACCCACGAGCCCATGCCGCGCACGCGCAGCCGTGGGGGAAAGGGAGTGAGGGGCCGTTGCCGTAAAGCGCGGACGATGTCGGGGCGGGCGGGCCCCGCGGCGCCGCCGGGGTTTGAGAAGCGGGTTCTGGTGACGGGCGGCGCCGGCTTTATGTGAGTGAGCCCCGCGGGTCCGGAGCGGACCGGCGGCCTCCTCTCCAGGGCTGTGGGGGAGACGTGGCGGGTGGGGGTCCCGCGGTGCCGCCTCCCTTGTGCCCGTCCCGGGCCGGTTCCTTGGTGCCGCTGGATCGGGCCACGCTCACTCAGGGGCTGCTGGTGACTCGTCCCTGTCGTGGGTTGTGAGGTGGTAAGTGCTGGGGAGCGAGCTGCGAGGCTGCCCCGGCCGTCCTTCGCCTGCGGCGAGAATGTGAAGGAGGGACCGCCCGGCGCTGGCGGTGGGAATCTGTACTCGGGCTCAGCCGGGACGGGGCTGCCCGGAGGAGGGCAGCGGAGCTGGTGAAGGGCTGGGAGCACAAGCCTTATGAAGAGCGGCTGAAGGAGCTGGGGTTGTTTTGCCTGGGCCTTCAGGCGAAACCTTATCGCTCTCTTCAACTTCCGGAAAGAGGGGTGTAGCCAGGTGGGGTTCAGCCTCGTCTCCCAGGCAGCAAATGGCTGGACGAGAGGACACAGGCTAAGCTGCGCCTGCGGAGGTTCAGGGTGGATATTAAAAAGATTTTATTTACATAAAAGATGATTCGATATTGGACTGGGCTGCCCAGGGGGGTCATGAGTCACTGTCCCTGCAGGTGTTCAGAAAACGACTGGACATGGCGCTTAGTGCCATGGTCTAGTTAACGAGGTTGTGTTTAGTCTTTAGTTGGACTCGATGATCTGAGGTCTTTTCCAGCCTAATGGATTCTTTGGGTTGAAGGTGGCAGGGCTTCGAGCCAGCTGCTATTTCTCATATCAACCCCCAGTGCTGTGGGCTCAGTTTGCGTCAGAGAAAGGGCTGGTCCATCTTAAGCTTAAGCGCCTCAGGGTGCTTGGAGTCAGAAACTGTGAGAGGGTTAAATTTCTGTGTGTGAATAACCCCTGAAGTAACCTGAACTTTCAGAATGAGCTTCATATACGCAAGACCGTGCCAAAGAGGCAGTGCCACCTGGTTGTCGCTTTCAGCTAGCAGCAGTGTCAGGGACTTGAGCGAAGGGAGTCACTGTCGTGGGTTAGGAGTGTTGACTGTTCATAGATTAGGTATCAGAGTCTCCCCGACATCTCATATGTAAGCTGTAGAGAGTAAAAGTATTTTAGAATGCCAGTTGACTATAACATATAACAGGGTTTTTTAATGTGACTGTGGGCAGTGTTGATTTCTTTTGTTATAGGATGAACTTTTATTATTTTAGTTTCTTAACCATATGCAATTATATATAGAAAATACTAGGATAACATATAGACTATATATCAGAAAAATTATGATTTTCAATTTGTCTTCCATCTGTCTTGAATATATCCCCTTCTTCCCCCAAAGACTTTTGAAAATGGTGGATTTATTTGGAATGTGTCATCTCTTTATTACCTTAAAGCCAAGTATATAATTGTAAAGTATGTTTTTCTTCTATTCTGCAGTGCTTCACATGTAGTCGTCTCTCTTGTGAAAAACTATCCAAACTATCTGATTATAAATCTGGATAAGGTAATAGCTTGTTTTCTTTCTTGATATGGATAACTGTTCTAAGTGATTTTTAATGCAACCTATAACACATTGAAATTTATGTGGCTTGTTGTTAGTTACTAATTTTTGCTTGGTTTTCCATTTGTTCCTGTAAAGAAAAAAGTCAACTGGTGTTCAGAAAAAGAACAAAGCTTTTCAAGCTCTAAACATCTGTTTAAGAATTTTTGCAGTTAGGGTATCTGTTGGAGATTTGTGCTTTTAAAGCTTCACATCTGCTTACGAAGTAGTATTTTTTGAAGTAAGTTTTTACTTTTTCCTCAGACTTTCCAGTGGTTAGGTTTGGTTTGAGTTTTCCTTTTTGCTTCCATGAAGCCCACTTACTGATGTTGTGTTGTGTCTTTAGCTCGACTACTGTGCAAGCTTGAAGAATCTTGAAACTGTCTCTGGGAAGGAAAACTACAAGTTTATCCAGGTGATAAAGCCTTCTCTTCCACAAAACATGACATTTTATGGATTTTTGCTGTACTACTTACTCAGCTTTGTCTTCAGAGAGGAGATGGATTTTGATTTATTGCTTAGATTAATATTTTGACTTGCTGGGCTTGTATGCTGAGGTTCCTCCTGTCTGCAAAAGGTTGATGCTCATCTCTCTGTCTTGGGGTCTGCCCAGGGTTGCAGGACATCTGAGAAATGCACCTCAAACACACCTTTGTCAGAGGTAGTAGATGTAAATTTGCTTTTTTTCTTAGATTCAGGCAAGGCTGCAAGCTGAACTTACCTTGACCTCTTCATGATCTCCATGGCTGTTTATGTTTTTGTGAACCACCCCTTTATTTCAGTAAGGGATTATCTCTGAGCTAGGGGGATAAAAATTTCATGAGAGGAAGGGGTCAGCCTGTATGCAGATGTGCACATGTGTGCAGTTTCAGCATGACCAAAGTGGCTTTTTGGTTACCTTCCTAAGGTCTTTGATTGTTTCCAGTGTGTAATATGAAATGTATGAATACAGTATAAAACCCTTGTGACTTGGGTAGATATTAACATTTAATTGCTGGGGAGAGCTTTGAGTTCTACAAGATATCCTTTAAACAGTCAGATCTCTATGTGAAGCAGTGGAACAGCAACTAGGAATGATGTGGATATACTGCTTTTGAACAAGGGTAGAAATATCTTGTCACAAAACTTACATAAGTAGAAATAATGCCAACTTTTTGTTGTGGGTTTGGGCTTTTTTTTGTGGTTTGGGGTGTGTGTTTGGGTTGTTTGTTTATTTCTGCTTTTTGGTTTTTAGGGACAGTTGATCACAGCTTAACATCCAGCTGGTATGCAAGCAAGCAGTTTTCACTGGCAGGAGAAAATGTGCTGGAAAAGACAGTCTCTGATGTGCAGCCCTTACGATTTAGAACTGTAGCATTGGTACTGACCTTAGGAGACAGCAAGAATGATATACTCTGTAGTGGTACTGTAGAAAGGAAGTTTCTTTTGGGAATTAGAGCAGTAAGTTTAGAAAATTTGACTCAGGGGCTGTATGAAAGATATGTTTTAATCACAATTTCTGTTGTTCAGCATAGAGGTACTAAACTTCCAGTTTAAAATTTGAATTTCAGTTAAAAAAAAATTCAGTAACTAGCCATTTAGTTCAAAATAATGTCTCTTTTAAAAAAAATATGTAAATTAAAAAATAAGTCACTGGAATAAATAGCAAGCAGCAAAACCCTTGCAAGACATAAACTAATCCCCTTTAGTGGGAATCTGCTTCTCCTTTTGCAGTACCACTAGATGTCCCTGCCTGCTTGCCAGACTGGGAACTCTTCTTTGCTCTGAGAACTTTGCATTTCAGCCTCACTATTGGAGCTCCGCGCTGTACTTTTATTGTGTGCATTTTTGGACACATCACTGTTTGTAATGTTAATAGTAACAAATTCTGAAATAAGTTTCATTGAAGTTTTATAAAAAATGGGTGAATTTTTATGTATGGTCTTATTTTAGACATGGCATTGATAAATGGCCCAGAACTCAGTTGATCATGCTGTTTGTATCCTGTGTTCCCTTCGTACCTTTATAATGGTTTCTTACGTGACACTTGGTATAAAGGGAAGCTGACTATTTTCTATCAAAAATAATTTGCTTTTTTTTTTTTTCCTCTTTAGGGAGATATTTGTGAACCTGATTTTATAAAGCAACTCTTTGAAACTGAGAAAATAGATATAGTTCTTCATTTTGCAGCCCAAACACATGTAGGTGAGCATTGCTGCATGTTTTGGTATTGTTTTCTGTGCTATACCTACTTGAAATATATGCCAGTATACTTTTTGTCTTTTCCTTCCATATAAACCAAGGATCCAATTTGTCTCTACAAATCACATGGCTGAGTGTCTGGTGGTCTTTTTAACTCTGAGGGATTCACAACCTTGATTTAAAAAGCACTTCATCTAACTTGTTTTGTTTTCATTGCACATAAATGGTAATGTTCCTTTTTGTCTGCATTACATTTTTAAATTCTGTCTAGACTCACATGTAGCTGATAGTGTACTGAGGGAGTCATAAAGACAGTGGAGAGGGGCTTTGTACATAGTCTGAAGTTTTTACTTAATTGGCTTCAATGTCACATGAAAAAACAGTGTGAAAGCTGAAGGATTAGGCTTAAGTCCCATTGGAATCTTATCTCCATGCTAAGAAGAGAGAATGAATTATAAAGTGCCTATTTCAGATGGCTGCTTTTCAGTATCACTCTTAGTAAGAACAATCCCCACCATACTCCATCCATCACGAGAAGAAATCCTCAAAGAATACTCCAGGAAAATACTTTTGAAAATTGTCATGTTTGATAGGCACAAAGTCATTAGGTCAGGAGAACAGTTGTAAGAATCAAAGCAGGTGCTAATGAGTTAATAGTCATGGGTCCATATTACTGCAACTGTCTTTGAATGTATTTACTGTATTTAGCCAGTGCTGTTTTAGATTATAAAGTCCATAACCAACAAGATTTTTCTCAAGATTACAGCCTCTTGTTGAGAACAAGGATTTTGAAGGTGCCTACATTTAATAAGGACCTTGCTATCTGCTAGGTCTATATTGCAGCCTCCAAGTGGAACCTATAGCCCTGTCTTGCCTAAATTTAGTCAGAATAGTCTGGTTTTTTTTTTTTTATGTAGATCTTTCATTTTGGCATGCGCTGGAATTCACCTATGTGAATGTTTACGGCACCAATGTGCTGGTTGCTGCTGCACATGAAGCCAATGTGGAGAAGTTTGTCTATGTTAGTACAGATGAAGTATATGGAGGTAGCACTGATGAGGTGAGTATGAAAATGCATGAGGATTTTTCTAGTTTACTTGCTTTTTGTAATGAAAACAAAGTTGAGTCTAACTTTCCTTGGCCTCTGTAAATGTTTGATTTTAAGTAAGCACTGGTTGCTTTTAGAAAGCTGAGTATCAAAATTGTCTTGATTTTTTTTTTTTTTCATAGCTTGTTTTATGTTGAATGTTTATTGTCTAAAGCAGTGAGATTTGGGTCATTAATGGTGTCACTACTCCTCAGAGATAGTGTGAAAGCAATGAATTATACAGGTTTTGTCCTGGAGCATTCATGAGACTTCAGTAATATGCACAGCTTGACAGGCAGAGAACTGCTTAATATTCTAGGTAAAATACTAACAGAACTGTAGGTAGTGACAATTCAAACAGGAAACAATTCCTGTATTACTGTAATAAATATTCAGATGTTTCATGTTGTTGTATGCAGATATTTAATTTTTGAGAATTTATACCTGACCTTAATTCACGAAATGTAATTTAGCTCAGTAAAAAGGCAAATTACGCATGTTCATCTTTTTAAAGGCATAAATACAGTTAAGGGGCCTTTTGCCATAGTCCCTGGAAATATGAATGTCCTTCAGGAGAGTTGTGTACTTTCTTATTATCACACTGTCTTTATCAGTTCCTTCAACACTATTTGCATCTGTAGGCTTTTATGATACCCAAGGATGATTTTTTCTTGTGTGTAGACCTGTGGCTTGGATGATACCTTCAAGTGAATTTTTTTCTGTCTTTGGGCCTTGAAAAGAGAACTTTAATCTGTTTTTAATTTTCTTTGTGAATCACACTAGAAGTTCTTACAGAGTTTTTTTTAGGGGAGGAAGGCCATTTCAGAAGCAAAGGTTGGACAAGAAGAGCAAATGTTTTAACCATGTTAAGGTGATTGTTACCAATCACACCTTGTGTAGTATCCCTCTTCCTTCTGTTTTTTTTCTTCCTTCAAGTGAGAAGTAGATTCAAGTATCAGGATAGCCTGGAAGATACCTGCTCTGGAACTGATCAGAATTGTTGAAGCCTTGCTTTGGAAGCTTTTGGGTTGCAATTCTACATTTTTTACAGAAATAAAGTTACAGAAAAATTTAAGAAAAGACCTCTTTTATTTAAGACTGAAAGGTGAATTTGCTAGTGGTGGCCCAATTGCTCTCTGAGGCAATATGAACCTGAAAAATACTAAGCCTCCCTGTAGCAACAGTGATTATTTAATAAGATAAAAATCTAAGGACTTGCTGCTGTGAGGTAACTCTGTGACAAGTATAAAAATATTACTGCTAGTAATCTGGCTGCCTCCTATATTCAATAAAAAGGCTTTTTTTATGGCCTTCTGTTGTAAGGGGACTTTGTCAAACTGATGAGCTTGGATATTTAGGGATCTTTATTTCTTTTGTAACTTTAAGGCTTATCTGGGCAAAAGAAATTGAGTAATGCAAAATTTTCTTTTCATTTTAGGAATTTGATGAATCCTCACCAAAACGTCCAACAAATCCCTATGCCTCCTCTAAAGCAGCTGCAGAGTGTTTTGTTCAGTCTTACTGGGAAAGGTACCAAGTAAGTCCATGGAAGCCTCAAAAACTCTGAAGCTTGTAATTAAGCGTCTGTATTATGTGCATAAGAGAATAAAAGAAAATTAAATACTAGTCCATACAGTGCCACCTCTTTCCTTATTGTTAGTCTTGTAGTTTGGATGTGTTAGAGAATCTCCACCAATAAATTATGAAGATATACTGCAAGACAGTGGGGACAGGTTAGATGATTTTAATTTTTGTTTTTTAAATTTAAATTGTAATATCTAAAAATGTGCTTTGATAAAATGATCAAAGAGAACATTAGGAATTTAAAAGCCAATGCTAAGCTTGCAGGAAATAAAAAAGTATTACACAGAAGTAAAACATGCATAATTCAAATTGTATTAGGACTAGGCTTGTAGTTAAAGTGAAAAAGAAAAAAAGAAAAAGTCTGCTAGTCAGATTTGTTTAAGCAAACATACATATTTAATAATTTGGACACTTCAGACTTCTGGTTTTGATATATGATTTTTTTTTTCTATAAAGTGAACAAGAATAGGACGTTAATGACCTGTGAAACACATTGGAATAAGTAGGAGCAAGCCTGTCTTCAGTCAACCAGATACACATATGCAATGTCCTGTGGTGGTTCCAGAGCAAGAGAGATTTCAAATATTTGTCACTTGTGCTCCTAACAGGCTGAGAATGCTTGAGGCCCTTGCCTGCTTGACAGAAATATAGAGAGCTCAATTCAGTAATGTTTGTAAGGGGTTTGTTAGAGCTTGCAAATTTTTGAGTAAGCACTGTGCATGTGTCGGTTTGTTTATTGATCAGCAGGAAGCTACAGGTTTTTACTGATATTTGCTTTCTTATGTAATCACATGTGTGTTTGATGCTCTCCAGTTTCCAGTTGTCATCACACGGAGCAGTAATGTTTATGGACCACATCAGTATCCAGAAAAAGTAAGTTAAATTGTGCTTTACTCTGAGCTTCAGTGTACCAGAATTCAGGGTTGCAGTGATGTTACTTTTTTCTCTTGTGCGTGGGATGACTTTTGAAAAAAGCACTCTTGCAATTAGTATGTGATTATATATTTTGAGCTTACACTAACATGTCTTACCCTGAACACATATTTTTTGATTGTTGATAAAACTTCAATCAGAGACTTGTATTTTAAATGAATTTTATGACAGCAACTTTGTTTTGTAGTTTTTCTATTTTTCAAATGATATTTTGACTGAGTTCCCCCACAAATTACATTAACTCGCATCATGTTCTGTAATTGTGAGTGTTTAATAACTCAGGGAAACATTTCAAAAGGTCAACTGAGAATACAGTGTCTGGTATAGAAAGGCGTGTTCCAGCCTGTACAGAATATAAGATGGAGCTATAGCATTCATATATAAGTTGAGAGGTAGTGTAAAATGACTTGTCTTTGCATGTGTTCATACAGATCTTGCAGGGTAACTGCTTAAAAGGGTTGTTTGTTTGAAGGAGTTGCCTTTTTAAGTCAGTACCAGAATCTGCTTTGTTAGTGAATGGAAATACACTGGTGAAATGAAAGTGATAATCACATCTACTCTTTGGAGTTTGGAACTGGTGGGCAATGTAGCTATATTTTACAGTTTTATGGAGTTTTTTTTTTTTTTAATTGAAATTGCTTTTCACCTTTTTTTTTCCCCCAAATAAATTTATTTTCACCTACATTATTGCAGGTGGATAAGCAATGGCTTTTAGAGTACATTTCTCATTGATCTGTGTATTGCCACAGGTTGCATGATTGTTGGAAGTATATTTCAGGGATGTATTTGCTTGCTTTTAACTTACATATATTCTTCTTCACATACCATATTTTAGTTACTGCTAAAAACTCAGCACTAGGCTACATGAATCTTTAGTTTTATCTAGTATTATGCTCGTGTGTTTAGAGTAGGACGTTAAATTTAAGTAATTTGAGTAGTCTTCTAATGGCTTCAGTTTAAGGACTTCAGTAGTGGGGGCAACTGTTCTGAAGTGTCTGGGGCATGAATGGATCTAAGCTTTTAGATGAACATGATGTAAATCTTTGGGTAGCTAGCACACTGTCACTTTATCTGTGTTATCTTAAAATTCTCTGTTGATTCTCTTCCAAATTTAACTATTTTAACAACTGTTTGGTTCTAGATTTACTCATGTTTACTGCATGTTTAAACCTTGTTCTGAACTGTTGGCAATAATTATTTCTAGTTGGACTCTGATGCAATGCTGTGTGCAAAAGTAATGGAAACTTCTTTAATTTTTGTAAAAATGTTACACTTGTAACAGCCAGAAAGATAAGGTTTTCAATACAACAATAGAGGCATCTGCTCTTACAAACCAAAATCCTTGCTGTTTCTAGGCTTGATACATTCTTTCATTAGATTTAATAAAACTTAGAAATATTTAAAGGATATTATTAAAATACTTAATGCTACATAACTGTTGAAGTTCCTCATTCTCTGTAGAGTAACAGCTTCTAAAATTGTGGAGTAATTCTTTTTCTGTTGTTTTTCAATTCCTTAGGTTATTCCAAAGTTTATATCTTTGTTGCAACAGAATAGAAAATGGTAGGTAACACGCATTTTTTCGGTAGTATTTGTCCTATAAAACTGTAATTGCATTTATAAATATTTGCTCATTTATGAAATGATAATTATATAATTAAGTTCTGAATCACCTATTTTAATAACAGGATTTCCTTAAAGTAAAGGATTGTTTGCATGTCAGCTATTTAAGGTACCTTCAGGCAACCATCTAACAGCAAAACTGCTTAAAACACAGTCCAGTAAATTGAATGTGTCTATTTGAGGGTTAACAACATTTTTTCATCTTTTTCTTGTATTAAGCTGTATTCATGGTTCTGGACTTCAGAGAAGGAATTTCCTTTATGCAACTGATGTGGTAGAAGCATTCCTTACTGTCCTGAAAGAGGGGAAACCAGGTGAAATTTATAACATTGGAACTAACTTTGAGATGTCCATTGCCCAGCTTGCTAAGGAGCTAATCCATTTAGTGAGTAAACAGTTGTAATGCTTTTCTTTAATGGTTTTCATTGCACATATGAATAATTCCACAGACCTTCTGTAGCTCTGAAAGTGCTTAGACTTGTGTTGGGTGTTGGAAGATCCTTGCAGCAGAATGATGTGCTGCCCTTTCTGCGGCAGCTGGACTGTGTAAGTTTCCAGTATGGGCTGTGTTGGGCTGCTACATCAGTTACCCTGACTGGGATATATCCTGACTATGACTGGCATCATGATTAATTACCATTTTTTTTCACGCTAACTGCTTTAGTTTTAGTCTGAGAATATGGCACTGTTAAAATCTAACAGGTTGATTATGGATGTTCTGGCAGTGTTCTGGATGAAGGAGACAGATTTGAGTTGTTCTAGATAATTTTGATAATTTCAGTAGTTTGAAGACTCATTATACAAAAGACCATTTCTGTTTGTGGTTTTTATTTTTTGTTTGGTGGCATTTTTTTCTTAACAAACTTCAATCTTGTTTAAAACCCCCTATTTTTTAAATACATGTTTAGACAGCCCAAGATGTATGGGAATGATACTTGTTTTTTTTTCTTGGCAGATAAAGAAGACGAGTTCAGAGTCTGAAATGGAGCACTGGATGGATTATGTTAAAGACAGGTGAGGAATGTGGAGGACATGCAGGATGTGCTGCACATGCAAGATAGTTTTGTCCTGAAGGTTTTCTGAGACTCTTAATCAAATAGTTTTTTGTGGAAGTGTTTCTGCTCTAAAGGAACGCTTTTGGGGGAGTAAGAGCTGTTTTGCTTCCTTTTTTTTTTTTGCCAGTGGATTTGACATCTGTGATCAAGGTTCTGTATAGAAAACAGGATTTTCCTTTATTATTTGGATCTGTAGGTCAGAATTAATGTCTTGAAGGAGAACATGAAATGCTAATCTCTGTCTTCAAACTTTCTTCATACTGCTCATTACTGAAGTCTTCTCTGGGATGAGGACAGGTTTTACAGAGCAACTAAATCTTTTCTTCATGGTAGTTTGGACAGTGTATTCAGCATCGCTGAAAGAGATGAGTCCCATCTTCTCTCACTTAGCTTTAGTATTTTGGTCTTAATGTGACTAATTCAGACTTAGATGTACTTTGTAGGAAGACCTAGTATCCACAGGCAGAAATATGTGCCTATGGAGTGTAGTTAACTTTAGATTTCTGTCTTAAACTGAAGCTGCTATCTCAAAAGTAGATGTAAAGCTCTAAGGTACCAAAGGTAGGGCAGTGGTAAAAATGGGTAGCTTTTATATATATGCTTTTTCTGTGTGTTTCTGTCCTTAGTTTCAGGCTTGGTTTGGCTCTGTTCTTTTATATCCATTTCTTTTCTACAGCAACAATAAGTCTCTGCTTACTTTAGATATCACTCTCTCCAGAGTGATTAAAAATGATGTGTCTGCTGATAGCAGTTAAATATTATGGCCTTTAGAATTCTCACTTTCTGTTCACATTTGGATTGTTATCATGGCAACTGAAGTGTCTTTAAAAATGTACTAACTTTTGTTTTTAAAAGGAAATGGTCTTCAGAATCCTATCTGAGTGTATCACAGGACTTTCAACAAATTGCCTTTGGCTCACATGATGTGAATGTTTAGGAGTTCTCAGTGTAGTTCTGTTTGAGATATTTCTTCATGTGTATTGGGCCCTGTCTGCTCATGTTTAAACATAAATGGGCTTGGGAAGACTAACCACATAGGAATACGGGTTTAAGGGAGTGTTGAGGTCTTACTGTTAATATATCTAATTTATGACTATTTAATTCTATAATGAGTGACTTAAAGGTCATGGGGTTTACTTGCTACAGAAAAATTAGTTCTGCTTCTGCTCAAGATTAGCATGTTATAGTAACAGTGATAAATACTTGGTTTGTACTTGCACATGTACCTTGACTATTCAATATGCCAGTGCCAGTAGAGCAGGAATGTTAGACTAGGCTGCCTATGTGCCAGACTGCAGAAGTGAAAATTTCTGCCATGCTTAAATATAAAATGTATCTTCCTGAGTTGAATCTTGCAGCTTGGGATTCTACATATTCAGTATTACTAAGTTCATGTCGGTAATGAGCCACTGTAATGATGCTGCTTTGGTAGTCTGTGTGTTTTAAATCTGAAGTATGTCTAAATTTGTGGGTTTCCACGATGAAAAATGTAAATGCTAATATTAGAAAACTGGCTCTATGTTGCAAATGCACTGATTTGCACAAATACGTTGGCAGTGGTTTGAGTTTTGTGTTCATTTTTGTGCCAGTAAAATACTAATTAATATTTATTCTAGTTAATTTCAAGTAGTTGACTGTGCAAACTGAATTGTGTTGTTGTAGCTGCACTCAGCTGCCACGTTTTTTTTGAAGGTACTGTAACCTGTTCATGTTGATGGGAATTTTCAAAATTGAAGCATATCTAATGTTCCTTCAAAGACAGTGTGAGGTATTGCATCTCTAAGTAATGAAGTAGTGTAATCAGATTGTTTTCCGTGTGCGTTTTGTACTTCATCAGGCCTACAAATGATCTCCGGTATCCAATGAATTCAGAAAAAATGCACAACTTAGGATGGAGACCTAAAGTGCCTTGGAAAGAAGGAATAACGAAAACAAGTAAGTCTGATGACTTACACTGATTTAGGAGTGATGGGAGGAGGGAGAGGGGGAAATGGGTATATATGAAGAGATTGAATGTAACACTTGAATTTTACATAATATTGGCTGCTTTCTAAATAATGAATTTACATTATACAGAATAAAAGAATATAATTTTTTAGTGCTATAATAAGACTTGCACAAAGAACTTACGAACTTGTTTAAACTAGATTTTTGTAATATTATAGGTTAAAATCTTCCATAAGCAGCACACTGTTAGTCTTATACTTGTGGAATATTTGGATTTCCCTGTTATCTCTGGTCAGCCTGACTCATCAACATTCTTTCCATATTAGTTGAATGGTACAGAGAAAATTTCCACAACTGGAAAAACTCGGAGAAAGCTTTGGAGCCCTTTCCTGTAACAGACTCGTTCGCCCAGCTCAGTGGTCCATAGTGTGGAACAGAACCTGAAGGAGTTTTTTCTACCTCATATGGTCTTTTCTTCAAAGCCTGCAATCAAGTGGCCACATTAGACTTTTAATGTGTTCAAGATACATGAACCATGATGAGTAAAGAAACACAGTATGGCACAACTTTGGAATGGTTTCAGCACTTTATAACTTGAACCTCTTAGTTTCAGCTTTCAGTGCAATACTCTCATCTCACTAGGTATTGATTTAAAAAAACCTGTACGGATTGAAGAATATTTATAATGTTATAAATTAGTGTACTGAAGTAAAATCTGCCTTATTAAGAATAATTAACTGTGATTGCAGCTTTTGGGACTTGGAGTTAAATTTGTTTTTGTTTTGGAATTATTCATCTGTATTAGTTTGTTTTTACAGTGTAATATATATAGTTTTTTGTCACTTCAAAGAGTTGGGTTTTATTTTTAATCAAGGGGAGAAATTGCATATTTTTTGAGTCTATAAATTGATTGACAAAAGTTGAATACAACACCTGTATTATTCTGTCCATTTCTCTGTTGGTTCACTATTAGCTTTTGTAGATGACTGATTAAACTTACCTACTCTGTAACTTTAAAAGCCCCTTTTTAAGGGGAACAAGGGGGTAAATATATCAAGAAGTAGCAGGTGTTCTTGTTGAGATTTCCAGAAGCATTTCCTTAAACTTTCTCCTGTTTTTACTGTGTTACTGTCTGTTACATGTTAATTCCCTTTTCTGAGCTATAATTGTAACAAACTTGAAATACTGGAGCACAGTTAACATTCCAATGACATTATTTCCTGTGATACGAAGGCTACTTATGGAGAAAAATTTTTAAAACTCTTCTTTTTCTGTGAATTGTGGGTTGGCAGACCTTAATGCAGTGTTTCATCATTTTTTCTGTAAAAAATATTTTGAAGATAAAACAATATTTGAGTTTTAATACAAAATTTGGAAAAAACTCTTTAATTCTAGAAATATGTCAATGACTTTTGTTCAAAGTTTATTTAGTAATAAATATTACGGTATAACTGGTTTCTCTTAATTAAGAAAAACATGCTGAAAAAGTAGATGGTGGGTTTTTCTAAAGAAATATTTCTTACCTCTTCCACTAACCTGAAAAAATACCTTCACTTTTTTGTCTTTGAGGTGATATGGCAAACATAAAAAGGGACCACTCTTCTTGGTTTTATCATTTCATCTTCTGTAGTTATCACAGCCTCTGAATCCTCTGTGACCCCTCGGCAGAGCTGTGGGAGTCACAGGACTGGGATGCTGTGGTGTACTCAGAAAAAGCTGTGACTTCCAAAGAGTCTCAGTAACTGGGAGCTAGCTCTTGAAACACAAGTGTTCCCAACTCTCCTACCTCTTGTGGTGCATGGTGCTGTTGATGAAATGCCACTTTTGGTTGGCAAGAGTCACTCTAAAAGAAGGCTAACCAGGAAGTTTCTGTGCTTACTGCAGTGCAAGTCTTTTAAAGTCTTGGAGCCTGTTATTGAAGGTTAGTTTTCTGTGACAAAGTGGGATAATAATACTAGAATTGTGTGGCAGTTATATTTTTTAGGCTTCTGATACTTGATTTGGAAGTAAAAGCCTCCATTTGGGACAGATAGAAGCTACAGGACTGCCTATGTAATGATCTGTCACATACTTGGTTAATCTATGGATTTATCATCTATGGATGAATTACTGAAATGTCATTGTCAAAAACATTTTGCTGATTACATTCAGATATTTCCTTAATTTTTATAGTTGAAATATAACTTCCTTACAATGTGCATCATTCCTTAGAATATCCAGCTTACTGTTCTGGATTTTGCAAAAGTCAGTACCAGAAATAGCTAAAGTGCTGGAAAGATCTGTCTTAGCTGTATTTGTGATTGCTGTGACAGCTGCTTTGAGTGGGTTGCATGAAAATGAGTCTTTCACATCTTCTTATACTGGGAAACTGGCTGTGTTGTGTTTTTAAGAGTAGAGATTACAGATAACTAAACTCTTACTACTTTAAACATGCATAAACCTTAATTTAAAAATATTTTAAACCTTTGAAAATAGGTACAAGTGTCTTTGGAACACTAAAAATAGTGTTATCAGAAGTACACAGAAGAAAGTAATAGGCGTGATTGGTTTATTGAACTTTTGAAAGTTGTTCTTAATGTATAGATGCTGAAGGATGCAAGCTTTGATATTTACATGACTATCCAAAGAAGTGATATTATCTGGAGTGGATTTTCAATAGGATCTATTAATTTTTAGTGGAAGCTGTTCTAGTTTATTTAAATATTTTTGGAGATTTAATTCATCCAAGTGTTTGAGATTTTTGTCTTTGTGTCACTACTTGTATGTATATATAAATAAATTTATATATGCACATTTTAAAATACTGAAATATATATACCTTAAAAATGTAGGAGGTTCCTGCTTTGAGCTACTTTGCTGTAGATCAGATTTTTTTAGCAGGTGAGTGATCTGGTAGGAGCATTTCTTTGACAGAGAAGTATTTCCTGTTAAAGAAAACAACTTATTTTGCCATTAGCTTTCTGGCTTCTGTAGGAAGAAAAGGACAAAGGATCAACTAGTGAACTGTCAATGTGGAGAAGTGATGTTTTCAGGTTTTATTTCTCACTGATTTTACGGGGAAGCATTTCTGCAGAAGGCAGAGGTAGTGATGTAAAATACAATGAACACTCTAATCTTTCAGTCCATTCTCTCAAGGTTTGTGTCACAGGACAAAGTGAGGCCACATCAGCGTGTATTTCACTTCTAAAACTTTCTAAGGGAGAAGGGCTGGACTTTGGCAAAGGTTTTGATTTAGGTTCTATCAGGAACTTGGGAGTTATGTGGGGATTGCTGTTGGTTTGCATCTCTTTTTGGGATTACTGTTCTGAATTGGGTCAGATCTTTGAGAAGCAGCTCCTGAAATCCCTTGTGCATTGGGGAAAACCAGCATGGCTACCTCACTGTCTTGGTGTACCACAGCTGCTATTAAGTGCATCCCTTGCCTGCAGCAAGTGAAAGGGTTTGGAAGACATTAAAGAGGGCAGCCGAGGCAGGGCTGTCTGCAGTCACAGAATCAGAGTGGTTTGGCTGGGAAAGGATCTTAAAGATCACCTAGTTCAAGCCCCCTGCCACATGCAGGGACACAGAGCTCCATCCAACCTGGCCTTGAGCACTGCCAGGCTTGGGGCAGCCATGGCTTACCCTGCCTGTGGGGCATTTGTGGTGTGTGTGTATCGACTCCAGTTTGTGCAACACACAAGAACCCCTACTTTCTCCCAGGCTTTCTCTGATCTGACCTCAGCACTTGTTTGTGTGCTGCTTGCATTAAGGGGTGTCAGCTGTGGTTGAGGCTGGTTTACACTGTCATAAGATGATGGACTAGAAAATACCTTTTGCTTGTCCACCCTGTACTTTCTTTGATGTAGGAGAAAGACTAGGGGTGAAAAATGAGAGGTTTTTTTTTGTTGGTTTGTGGGGGTTTTTTTGACTCAGAATGCTTTATTTTGCTGAAACTGTGTTCTTTAGACAGACACAAAATGCAAATATTTTTCTCGAGAAGGAGGAACTTAATACATACCACCTTGCCAAATTCTGTTAGGGGAAAAGCTGACACTTTTATTAAATATGCTGTGTCTGAGACTGAATTGTCCTCTTTTATTTAATTTTGTTTTGCATTACCATTAACATTGTTTCTGTTTTTATTCCCACTGCCATTTCCATTTCACCTGGCAAAACAAAAGATTTCTAAAAATAAGAACTGGAATAACCCATTGCTCCATAGTACCTCTGATTGTTGTGGTAATGTATGAAAACTCTTAAGTCAATAGTGTTTTGACTTCTGTGCATGCCATGACACATTGGGAATTTATCTGCACCAAAGATCACAGATTGTGTTAGCTGCATCAGTAGGAGACAGGCTTGTTAAGGGATTACATTCATCATTTCTCAGCAAAACAATCATTGCCAGTGGCAATGGAAAATCATGAGAAGATGAGATTTTGTATCAGTATGTTGTTCTCACACCTCTTAAGCACATTTGTGGGTTGGTTTTTTTAACCTCTCCCTAACTGAATTTTTATTGTTTTGTGAAGAGCTCTTGTTTTCAATCACTAAACTGCTGGCTCAGTCCTCAGCCTTTGTACTTCTGAAAACAGGTCTTTGACTCCCGAAAGCATGTCAGCTCCCGAAGAACCCACAAATGTGGGACGTGAGGACAAATACACTCTGAAAATAAAAGGACACAGGGTGATATATGTTACCAAATATTCACATGGCTGGCTTGGGCCAAGGCTACTTCTTCCTCACTCAGAAAAGGAGGGGTTTGTTAAATTCCTGCAGTACTATGGAAGAGAGTCTTGGGGTTTTTTTATTGACAGGAGGGAGCAATGGTGGACAATTCTGCAAAGAAGCCCCTCTCCCCTCACGGTGTGTGGAAGATATGCCCTCACATGTGGCTTTTCCTAGACCATGGGCTGTGCAAATCAACACAAACTTGAGATGTCAGTGCCCACTCCAGGCACTAATGTGGGCACTCTGATGCATCCTCTACCTTTTCCCTGTAGCCACATGAGTGTGTGACCAGCTGCCTGTTGAAAGCAATGCCTAATTAACAATATGAATGTAAACTATTTTTCTTAGTACACTGCTTAGTCAGGATTTGTGATTTATGTGGACACAGGGAGCTTCTCCAGTGGAAGACCACAGGCACGAGAAGGTGCAGGTGCCCTTTTTCTTCATGTCTTTTCCTGACACCATGATCTCTGCACACAGTTTGTCAGGCTTTAAAATAAAATCCCTGAAAACTGAAGCTAAAATACTGCCAATTTAATGCTCTTGAGTCCCACATAATGTTCTAGTTCCTGTTACCTCCCCCAATAACCCCGGGAGCCACTGCCAAAACACCATCCTGATGTGTGTGTTGTGCATAGATGTTAGTATATGCATACTTTTGTGTTACTGCTGATTTGTCTTTGGCTTACGGCATGATTTTGTTTGCGAAGACCCGTCATTGACTCGTTTGTGGCATCTAGCGCCGCAGGGCTAATAACACTTACTTTATTTAGATCGCCGTGTACAAACAGCCTGGTGGTGGGTATGGAAGAACGCATTAGTGCTATCTCACCGCAAAACGGGCAGCACGGCAGCCGAAATAGCTCAGTTGGGAGAGCGTTAGACTGAAGATCTAAAGGTCCCTGGTTCGATCCCGGGTTTCGGCAGAACCGTTTTCCACTTTTTCCTCGCCCTGCCCGGGAGGTGGCGAGCCCGGGCTCTGGGCGCGCTGCAGGAGCCGGCCCGGCTGGCCCGGGGCTTGTGCAGCACCTGGGAATTGCCTTGCCGGGCTCCTGCCGGCCGTGTCGCTCCTGGCGCAGCGTGCCCTGCCTTCTCGTGTCCCTTCTCAACTCCTCTAAGGTTAAGATTTTTATTCAGGATGGAAGAAATGAAAACAGCGAGCTTCGTTCCCGGGGCGTCCTCTGCCCTTCGCTATCCCAGGGCGGCAGGGACAGAGAAAGGAAAGTGAAACTGTGTGAGGAGGGGGATGGCTGGGAGGGAAGGGACAGAGAAAGGAAAGAGTGGCTCTAGGGGACTGGGACAGAACGATTAGAGGTTGCTTCTTGCCAAAATCTGAAGCGCAGTTCGAAATTTCCCGGACCTCACTAGTCCTCTGCTGTCAATAGATGGCTGAAACTATTTTACTTCACAGAAAGCCAAAGGAATAGCTTCGAGGCCGGGAAATCTGGTAATTAACGTCACTTAGTCTTTACCGTTCTTCTGTTTCTTCCTGTTCCTTTCTTGTAAATTGAAAAAATTAATTTGGATTTTTCTGAAGCATTTTTTTTTAAGGAGAGTGTGTGGTTTTGATTTGAGGACATGAAGAGGCAGACAGTTCACTGGTTGGCTTTGGTAATTTGTTGCAATTTTTTCAAATATTTACCTTTAATCTGGACCTGCCCTCTGTTAAACCTTTTCTGTTAGATCAGAGATCTTTCTTGATACCTGGCATTTGGTCATCACAAAACTGTCAACTCATCACCCATTTTTGTTTTGATAAGCTAAAGAAATTAAATTCTTTGAGCCTTTAAGACTTTTTCTCATGCTTTTGGGTAAATTTTTGGTAACCTTTTTAATACACTGACACCAGAACAATACACAGAAAAAGGACCCTGAGTATTGATGTCACCCGTGCAAAACACAGCAGTAAAGCATCTCCCTTACTTCTGTGTGCGGCATCTTTCATCTACTCATGAAAAGGTGTCACTGGTCCTTTTCTAATCACAGCATCACAACAAGCATTGATACTGCATTGTCCAACACAAGAAACACTCACTACAGACGAGTATCTTATTAGTACAGAGCAAGGGTAGTGTTACTGAGATCCTTACTGGTAAGGCAGATAAGGGGTTGTATAACTGCTTATATTACCATTCTTCCTACAGATTTTTTAAGGTTTTGAAATAACATTATGACTGCACACTTGAGTACTCAGGGAGGAAATGTTAAAACGATCACTTACAACTCTGAGTGTGTGATATCAAAAATACTTTTTTTTTTTTTTTTTTATGGTGCATTGGGGAAGAATTAGGGAGGTATTAATTGATATGTGATCAAAGAAGCAAAACCAGAGAATGTCTGTTTACTTTTTGGCCTTTTCCACACTGCTGAATAAAAGAGTCATGGGGCAAGCTCGGGTGTCTGACCTCTGACTCTCTGCTTGGCTTGTGCACTGGCCCCCTGAGACAGCTCTGCCCAAGGTCATTTGCTATGGAGGGAAGAGCAGGACACAATGGAGACAGCGGACAGCTGCTCAGCTGAGGGGCCTGGATGTGGCCCCAAGACTGCTTGTATGCAGTGGTCTGGCTATACTGCCCCAGTGCTGCTCTGG